GTTTGACATGAGTCTTCATTGAGCAATGCCTCCAAATCATTATCTTCAAATTTTTTCGGCTGGCCAGATCGTTCCTTGTTATCCAAGTCGAAATTACCAGCTTTAAAACGTGCAAACCACTTCCGACACGTTTGCTCAGCTAGAGCATGTTCACCATACGCTTCCACTAAAATACGATGAGCTTCAGCAGCACTTTTGTTTGTATTAAAGTAATGAAGTAAAACTCCCCGCAAAAACACTTTATTCGGCACAAATTTTGACATATTCAATAAATTATAAAGTGTTGTTATTTACGATTCAAAAAAAGGTTATGTAAAGCAAATAACGTCCAATGACAGCTGTTTCACGATGAATACATTACTGTAAGTAACAACGAAATACTGTACTACCTACGCCATCTCTTGTAAAACGCTACGAATTAATTCCAACACTTAATACGTTAAAGCATTACGTTTTTTTGGTCTTTGCTTGTTTTAACCGATCGCCTAAATCAAGCGAACGCAAACGACTTGTCTTGCTGCTGTTAGTGGATTAAAATGTAACATAACCTTCGGCGTATTGCTGGCGACCGGTGACAGTGTAGACGTTACGGAACATAAGAAACATACAAAACGCTTACGGATTCTCGTAAAGCTGCCTACTGTTTTCTCTTCTTTTATTTCCAAACAACCGACTTCTTACTCATTCCCCGTGACGCATAAAATGAATGCATCTCTCCCAAGGCCAATTGGATTTTCTTCGAGAATATAAAAATGGGAATGAAAGAATCTTGGGTTTTAAGGAAGAAAATGTATATTTCGATAAGAAGCCGCTGCACAATCATCGTAAAATTGCGTGCGTGCTTTGCTTCCGAGTACGCACAGTTATTAAGACTGAAAACGAAAAGAGTTGAGCTAACCATAGAGAATTAAACAGAATCGGCGACAAGATATATTTACCACGCTAAGCTCAAAACGAGATACATTACCAGTAACTATTCTAATTCGCGATGGCGCGGTACGTCATGAATATAAAGTGGATATTGGGGTTACACTTGTTGTTACTGTGTATTTTCGCCATTCTGTCCGCGCAATGACGCACAAATAGAATATCACAGCCAACAAGATTACATTACATATCTAGAAATAAATATATCTTCTGGGTCAGATCTAATCTAAGATCTATGTTTTGTTATTATATACTTTCTTATTATCTTATTTGAGAAATTGCAGTCGACTTGAACGAGAACCACATTACTTCATAGTATGTTTTTGGTACTATAGCATATTTTGACGTTTATACAATCAAAGAACCTTTGAACCTTTAAAATGAACGAAAAATTGTCTTTTTATACCTCGTTTCTCAGTTTTTACATTTTTGTAGTTTTTTTGTTGAAAGATTTTACGGGATGTGTAAGTGATGGTTGCTATATACACCTTTCTCATTGTTACGGTCAGTAGAGAAAATACAAAATTATAAAAAATATATAGGTTAGAAAATGCGTGTAGAAAATGGAGACCGCAGATGAATACGATACAGAAAGAAATGCAACAAAAATACGTTACGAAGATGCGTCCAACATAAATCATTGTAGATTACCAACAAAAACATGTATTACTCCTCGCGTACTCTCTCTCTCTCTCTCTCTCTCTCTCTCTCTCTCTCTCTCTCTCTTTCTCTCTCTCTCACTCACTCACTCAC